ACACACAACAAACAAAACCCAGAGACTGGGAGCCAGGTGCAAAAGTGTTTTGTTTTTTTAAATTTGTTTTTAGTTGTCAAAGGACTTTTACTTGTTTATTTATTTATATGTGGTGTTGAGAATCGAACCCAGGGCCTCACACACGCTAGGCAAACGCTCTACCACTCAGTCACAACCCCAGTCTTGTTTAGCATGTGTGAGGACCTGGGTTCGATCCTCAGGATCACATTAAAAATAAACAAAATAAAGTTGTAGTTGTGTCACAACTAAAAAATATTAAAAAAAAAAAAAAAAGCTTGGAGTCCAAAAATATTTGAATTTGAATTCTGGTTCCAATAGTTACTCCAGGCTGGTAGCTAGACAGATACACACACACACACGGGAGAAATCGCAGCATGCCTCTGGGCTGAGGCTAATGTTCTGACAGAGGACAAACTGATCATGCAGGAAAGGGGAGAATTACTAGAGGGGCACCTCTTAATAAATGAGAAAGGACAGGGTCTGGGAAGGTGTGAGGGGCTAGCCAGAGGAGTGCTGCTAGTTCTGCCACGGTGACAGGAAGAAAGGGCATATGTGGGCAGAGGCAGGGAAGTGGGCCAGAGCGTGAGGTTACCTTCCCAGCAATTTCTACTACAAACCCACAAGGGGAGAAGACCGAAACCATTTCTACCTTCATCTGAAAGACCAGTGACTATTTAAGGCAGAGAGTACATTTCTAGAGAATCTTGGGTGAGATTAACTTCATAGTTTACAATTTAAGCAAGGTAATCAACAACTGGACTGAAACGGACTGTGGAGGAGGATGAATTCTGGATCACACTGAAGGCTGGTTGCTGTTCCTCTAGGAAAGCTTCCTCAGGGAGCAGGCCTGGAGAGGTGGGCAGAACAGATAATGATGTGGAAGCAGAAGAAGGCGGCTGGGAAATGGAGAGGAGGAAGGCAAGGAGGTCTGAATGTTGATAAGCCTGCGTAAAACACAAGGTGCAGGCTTATTTCTGAAATGTGAGTGGCACTGGATCAAATCCAAGCTTTACCACCTGCTAGCTTTGTATTTTCCAGCAAATTAACTTCTCTGATTCTAGCTCCTCCTCTATAAAGAGGAGGGTAGTATTAATATCCACATAAAATAAGTGTGGGGGGGTCAAGCTCCTAGCACAGCCTAGAAAATAATTTCTGCTATTCAATATTGACAACATTTTCAGACTTTGCATTATTCTGACTGGCAGATAAGTATCCTAAGCCCTGCCAGTTCTAGGAGCAATGAGATGCACAGGTGGTTCCTGCCCTACAGGAGTTCATAGTCTAGATGAAGAAATAAGGCAACACTAACAACAGTTAATATATTACAGTTCAACACAGGCAGAGTTGTGGTTCAGTGGAACACACTACACAAAAATAAGATTCAGACCTAAACCTGAGACCCACAGAAACATATCAAGCTCATTACTGGATTCTTCTGAGGTGGCTTTTGTAAGTATAAATGTGCACTTCTACAAGGGGAGAGACCTATTCTATTTCTGTTGAGGGGGCAGTGCAAAGGTGTCATCTGAATCACAACACTGACCTATGAAACCGGCCTTTTCTATAGTCCCTGGGCGGAAGAAGAGCCTGAGCTTTTGAACTCACTCTCATTGGCAGGGCTCTCAAAACTTAATTGCTTCCTCAGCAACTATAAAAGGAACATAGTAAACAAGATCATTCTGAATCATCAATTAAAGGCTCAGAAGACATAGGCCCGAGGCTCTGGTAGGCATCCTTTTTCCCTAACCCTCCTTTTCAGAAAGAAGATGTGAAGAGTGAATGACTTGCCCAAGTTCACATAGAGCACAGGCAACATGTACTACCTGCGCA